GTTGGTACAGCTGTGCCTGATATATTAAGACACCAGATGGTCCTTCAGTCTTCTCCTACTTAGCTGTCTGACCCCCACACCATTAGTGAGGTGAAAGTTCCTGAGGCTGAGGCTGCTTCCCAACCCAGCTAGGAGCTTCTCAACAGCTGACTTGTTTGTTGATTCAGCAGAGTTGACCAGCAGGTGTTTGCACTTCACTCAGGCTGCACCTCTGCCCCTGGAGAGCCAGTCTTTTCTGAGGTCCTCTCAAGTTGTCATGGGAGGACAACTGCTTTACCCCAGCTTTTGTTTATTTTTATTTCTCTGTGTTCACTTTTTTTTTTTGAAAGTTAAAAAGGAGTTATACAGCACACCAAGGCAATTAGCAGTAGGAGTGTGACTGGCCACAATTCAAATTGCATACTGTTTTACAGACAGGAGTAAACAACTCTCATGTAGGGGAAAGACAATCCTAATTCTTCTACATTTTTTTTTCACATTAGTCATGTTGTAAGGAAGAATTAGAACCAATAGGAGGAACCACAAGAAAGAGGAAACAAAACAAAACATAAGGAAAAAAAAAGAGCAAATAGTATGCTTTGATCTGCATTCAAACTCCATAGTTCTTTCTCTGGATGTGAACAGCATTTTCCATCATGAGACTTTTGGAGATGTCTTAAATCCTTGCATTGCTGAGAAGGGCTAAGTCTATTAAAGTTAGTCATCATACAATATGGCTATTACTGTGTATGATATTCTCCTGGTTCTGCTCACTTCACTCAGCATCAGTCCATACAAGTCTTTCCAGGTTTTTCTGAAGTCTGCCTACTCATCATGTCTTATAGCACAATAGTATTCCATTACATTCATATACCATCACTTGTTCAGCCATTCCCCAATTGATGGGCATCCCCTCAATTTCCAATTCTTTGCCATCCCAGAAAGAGCTGCTATAAATATTCTTGTACATGTGGGTCCTTTTCCCATTTTTATGATCTCTTTGGGATGCAGTCCTAGAAGTGATATTGCTGGGTCAAAGTGTGTGCACAGTTCCAAATTACTCCCCAAAATGGGTGGATGAGTTCACAACTCCACTAAAAATGCATTAGTGTTCCAATTTTCCCACATCTTCTCCAACATTTTTCATTTTCCTGTTTTGTCATGTTGGCCAATCTGATAGGTATGATGTGATACCTCAGAGTTGTTTTGATTTGCATTTCTCCAATCAATAGTGATTTAGAGCATTTTTTCATACGACTATAGATGACTTTAATTTCTTCATCTGAAAATTGCTTGTTCATATCCTTTGACCATTTATCATTTGGTGAATGACTTGTATTCTTCTAAATTTGACTTAGTTCTCTATATATTTTAGAAATGAGGCCCTTATCAGAGACACTGGTTATAAAAATTCTTTCCCAGTTTTTTGTTTCCCCCCCAATCTTGGTTACATTGACTTTGTGCAAAAACTTTTCAATTTAATGTAATCAAAATTATCCATTTTGCATTTCATAATGTTCTCTGTCTCCTGTTTGGTTATCTGTGTTCACTTTGAGGCGATATTCTGTCTTGTTTGTGGAGGAAATTTGGAGAATCTGGAATTTTCTGACCTACTCTGCCACTTTCCCAGAATACTCTCCAGTAACTTTTTTTTGTTGTTTTTTTTTTTTTTTGGTTAGGCAATGGGGTTAAGTGACTTGCCCAGGGTCACACAGCTAGTAAGTGTTATATGTCTGAGGCCGGATTTGAACTCAGGTCCTCCTGAATCCAGGGCTGGTGCTCTATCCACTGCGCCACCTAGTTGCCCCTCCAGTTACTTTTGAAGTCCTTTCATCTAAGAGTTCTAGCTTCCTTTGCTCTCATTACTCTTCATAGTTGTATGTAATGTGTGTCTTGTGTGTGTGTGTATACATATGTTGTATAATGTATATTAGATATATATTTAAAATTATACATATATGTGAATATACATATACATACAGAGAGAAGGGTGGGTTAGTAATTTAATCAAGCATAGCATGATGTAGTGGGAAGAGTTCTGAACTTGATGTCATATCGTAACTCTGACACTTAATATGTGACATTAGGAAATTGTAATATTTGGTATGGTGAAAAGATTTCTGAATTTAGAGTTAGTGGACCTAGGTTGAAATCCTAAGTCTGCTCCTTACTAAAAGGGGCCTTGAACAAGTTTCATAACCTCACTGGGCCTCAGTTTCATCACTTATAGAATGTGGAGGTTTAACTAAGGTTTCTTTCAACTCTGAATCTATTGTCCTATGAATTAAAGTTTGTTCAATAAACTTTTATCTTTACTTTTATTATTTATGTCTTTATCTGATTTTCCTTTTTCTCATTATGGAATATTGAAATTTCTCAGTATTATAATATTTTTTTATCCATTGTTTTTTATAATACTGTTAACTTTTTTAAAATTAATTTGGTTATTATTATATTATAAATTTAAGATTCTGTTCTCATTCTTCTACTGATTTCCTACTCTGATGTCTTATTGTGTTGCGGAGGTAACCTTGGGTTTTAGAGACTATTCTAGGTTACTGTCAGCTCTGATAGGTCTTTTGAAGCTGGAAAGACTGGTTTCAGGTCTGGTGATGTACTGTACCTCTTGTTTAAGAACAAATATAGCTAAATTTGGAGAGTCTGATAACCAGTTTGGACAGAGGATGATGACTTTTCAGCTAATATTTTTTTAAGTTAGTTATTTCTTAATATATTTTCACCTTTTTTGTAATAAAACCAATAAACAAAATGACTGATATAATATTTAATAGCATAGGCAACATTTAGCCCCATGAATGAATGAATGAATGAATGGAAGGAAGAATAAAGCATTTATTTAGTGCTTACTATGTGCAAAGCATTGTGCTAAGTACTGGGGATACAAATAGAAAAGTGAAACAGTCCCTGATCTCAATGAGCTGACTTTTTAATGGGGGAAGACAACATAATATGGAAGATTTTAGCTGCAAATCAGGTGAAAAGGCCCCATGATTCTTAGGGTGCAGCTACAAAGTGTATGGGAATGCTTCTTCTTTATATTTTTTTTTTTTTTTTAGGCAATTGGGGTTAAATGACTTGCCCAGGGTCACACAGCTAGTAAGTGTCAAGTGTTTGGTCTGAGGCCAGATTTGAACTCAGGTGCTCCTGACTTCAGGACTGTTGCTCTATCCACTGCGCCCCAGAATGCCTCTTCTTTAATGTAATTTCCACTGATAAAATTTTGTCGATTTCTGATATTGAGACATTTGACAATGTCAAAGACTTTGGTGATAAGAACTTTCTTTTCTGCATCTTCAGTAGATGAGGTTGCAGCACTTGCAAGAGTAGTTGCCAGGCTGCATCTCCACAGAGATTGCTTCCCAGGATGATGACTGTGGGCACTAGGATAGAAGCATTGTCATTCCCAAGTCTCTTGGTTCAGAATCCTGGGCTGATTCCATCAAGGTATGAGGGGAGATAGTGGTTTCCATTGCTGCCAGGGGAAGGGAAGAAGATATGCTTTCCACTTTCATGAGAATTCCAGGAGAGACCTTGCAGAGTCCCAAGTAACATATCCCTTTAAAGCAAGAATTTTTCACCTGGGGTCAATGAATTTTTTCCTCTTATTTTGATAATTGCATTTCAATATAATTGGTTTCCTTTGCAATCCTATGTATTTTATTTATTCTGAGAAGTGGTTTTTTCATAGGTTCCCCCAGTCTGCCAAAAGGGGTTAATGACCCAAAAAAGATTAAGAATCCCTGCTTTAAAGTCTTCTAAGAAGGCAGCTGTAGCTGGTCAGTTACTGAAGCCTATTTGACAAAGCACCTCTGTCATAGGGTGGGGAGGGGAATGAGACCAATTAGAAACCTCTGCTTGTAGTGTTAAAGGACCTGCCCACTAGAAGGGACCAGGATACACATTCATCTCCAGGGAAAGTGGATTCTCCTGATTATCCCTATTATATGAGAGTACTTTTCATACAAGGCCATAAGAACTATAAAGACCAAGTGTTACAAGAATTCAGAGGAGGGAGTGAGATTACTTCTTGTTGGGGGAAATTAGGAAGCATTTTCTGAAGGAAATGGCATTTGAGGTAGATTCTGAAGATTATTAGGATTATAATAAATAGCATTGTTGGGGAAAGCATTCTAGGCAGATGAATGAGTTGAGATGGAAAAGAACCAACAATTTTATTTTAGTTTCAATGGAGTATAGAGTAAATGGAGAAGAGTAATGTGAAAGTGAGTTAAAGGTGGAAAACTAGATGAGGTACAGAATATAGAGAACCAAATAAAAAAGTTGTCTTGTGTCATTTCTTGATAACCTCTCTTCCTTCCCTCACTACCCTGTCCTCCCTCCCCCTCTCATATCACCTACTACTTCTGTGAGCTCTTTGCTCCTTATCTAGGTCCTCTTTGAATCTCTTCTCTCCATTCTATGAGGACTTTGCTCTTTTCCACCCACTTCCCTCTCTACTCATACACACATTGTTCCTTCCTAAGCCTATTGGAAAGGGAAGAGAATTAGAGACGGATTTCTCTCCTCTCGCTTTACACTAATGAGCTATCTCCTTTCTTTCTTAGGCCATGGCTGGAATTAGCAGAAGACTACTTCATGCTCCCTAAGGTGATGTATATGAGTAGATTAGGGATGCGTATGATTGCCCAAGGATGTATGTGTGTGTGTGTGTGTGTGTGTGCATGGCATGCACACATGCACATGCTAACTGCTTACCTACTTTCCTGCTGTATGCTAAATATGATGGGTGGGGGTATATGGGTGTTCTGTGTGTGACTGGGGCAGTGGGTGTGTGTAGTAGGGTACTATATGTAAGTAGATTTGATCGGAGAAGCTTCTGTGAGACTCCTGAATGTATATGACTTGCTTGCTGTGTGGAGATGTGATTTAGATGCATTGTGTGGGAATGGTGTTTCTTGGGGCTGTGATAAAGGAAGATCTGTGATTGGGGGTTGCTATTGCTTGAATATAGGCTCAAACTCTGCATTGTGACAGAGGCCATGAGCTACCCTAGGACATCTTCACTTAAGAAGCGTGGTTCACCTTCACCCCCTCCAGCTACCCCTGTTCCCTTTAATCAGGAGATTAGACCAGGTGAGAGGGGAAGGGATTGGCAGGGAGGTTGGAACCTGAGGGTACCACCATTATAATTTCAGCCTCATTGAACCAATTCCTTATCAGGTCTTGTGAGATAAAAGGCTGAAGAGAGGTAATATGGTACTTTGGAAACTCAGGGGTTAAGGGGGCATGATATTTTCTACCTGTTGCAAACCATGGGGAGGCCCTGTCCAACCTCAGCACTGATTCCCTTTCCCCTGTTCCCCCTCTCCCCATAAATGTTGCCTTGTCTCTTCACAGTTTGAAGTCTTTTCCTAAATCACCTTGTTTTTGTGGAGAGGTTGGTAGATGGCTCCCATGCATTCCACATGCCTTCCAGTTACTCAGGACTAGGCAATCCTTTACCTGGTGTATTCCCCTAATATCTTACTGGGTTGAGGTACAAAGTGAAAAGTAGGGAGGCTATGGAGGCTTTTCTTCCTTATCCCCATTTTGGAGCTTTTCTCTTACTCATCTCTTTTTCCCTTCCTGCTCTCCCCTAGCCTGGGACTGGCAATCAAAGCCAGAGCTATGGGCTCAGGCTATTCATCAGCAACTCAATGCCCAGCTGCAGCATCCCCTGGAACTGGACCAGTGCCCAGCAGTGGAGCTCCTTCTAGCTGAACTTCAGGTCCTTCTGGCTGCTGTACTCAAGGATGGCAGTTCTGCAGCTTGGTACTACCTGTATAATGTGCTGGCCTCTCTCTCACCTTACCAGACTCTGCTTTGTGGCCACCTTGACCTACTACCTTTCTTGGAGCAGTTATATCTCTGGGCCCCCCAAATCCAGACCCAGCTTGGTCTGGATTTTCTGGAGGTGCTGAGACAGGCCTTTCCACCAGACACCTCTATGATGGCCCCATCCACCCATACTTTTTGCAGACACCAGAAGAAGCTGAAAACACTGTCCTTTCAACCTGTCTTGAGCCCACCATGCCCTTTTGTCCAGGCTGAACAAGGGCAGAGACAGGAAGATGAGGATGAGGATGAAAACTGGGTGTACCCTGTGACCCTACCTGAGCTACAATATGCGCTGGGCATTGTGGGAGTAGATGTGGCCCAAGATGAAGCCTTCTGGATGAATGGCCTTGGTCTTCTGCCTTTGGCCTTGGCCACAGACATCCCCGTGAAGTACATCAGCAATAAAGAGGAGGAGGAGTGTTGTGGCAGTGGTGCTAGGTGAGCAAACACAAGAACCTGGGGAAAGAGAGAGGAGTCAGGACCCTAAACTGTGGCTCTCTTCTTTATTCTCCCCTTTTTTCCTCCCTTCTCTCTCCTTTCCTATCCCTACCCAACATAGATATAGACACTCTGGCTTACTGGGCCCCCTGGGTGAAGGTGGGAGAAGCTCTGCTTCCAGGCTCTCATATTGGTACAATCTCTAGATGCTTCAGCCCTGTACCAACTTAATTTGTCACTGTTTTTGCTTTTTGGCCCTGGGAACAAGGCTATATCTCACTTATTTTTTGTCCACTATTGCTAGACACTCCTGGCACGGTTTTTTCTCCTTGACTCACTTAGGTTGAGACTACCAGATCCACATGGGTATTCATAGCAAATGGATCCCCTGCTTTTCCCACCTGAAATATTCAGGCAGCCATGGGTATCTCTTGAGGTGTTTATTGCTCAGTCTTGGAATGAAGCAGATGCAGTTTCAAGAGTGGGGAAGGGAAAGAGGACAGTTCCAAGGGACTTCAGAAGATCAAGGAAAGACTCAGTGGATTCACAATTTGAGTGTTCTTCTTGTTTTAGCTAGAATTTGCAACAGGTTCTGCCTGAAAAAGTCCTGGCCCCTTTTGTGGAGATGTGATGTCACCATTATCACCCCTATGTGGCCCGTTCCTCCCCACCCTCTAGAAAAATATTACACTGGGCGTTTGGCGGGAAGCTACTGTCTGTTTAAGATTATTGAGCAAATTAGTCTCACCTCATGAGAAAAGTCAGAAAACTGCTATAAATAAATAAAGCCTGTCAAGGTGAATAGACTTGGCATTTAGCCAGTTTGCTTCAGCAGTTCATTGTGGCAATTGGCCACAAGAGCTATCAACAGAGAAGATTAAGGTTTCTTTTCTAGCAGGTGTGGAGAGCAGGGAGAAGTTTTCAGTGCCTTCCATAGAGTGTGAGATGTTTGTTTTTCTGGCATGGCCAAATAACTGTCCTCTGTGTTCAAAATACAAGCTAGTTTTGCTTCTAGAAGGGAAGATACAAAGCTTAGAAGATAGGTTCCCAAGGTGGGTGATAACTGCCCCCTGGAGGGCGCTGGAATGATCCAGGGGGAGGTGGTAGTAGCCTTGGGTGACACAAATTTAAAAAAAAAAATCAAACCATTAAAGGGTTAAAGAAAGTTGATTTCCGGGGCTGGGGAGCACAGAGTAATTTTTTTTTTAAAGGAGGCGGTAGGCCAAATAAGTTTTGGAACTTCTGGAATGCCTTTCCATTCTCCAGGTTATCAGGAGAAAGTGAATAACTTGTTAAGAAGATGGTATCTGAAAATGATTTTAGTTCAAAAGAAACATGAGATACACAAATTTAGAGACATCTCCACTCCAGATGTTCATATGAACTATTTTTGCCTGACCTGTGGTAGCGTCTTCTGAGCTCATATTGGTCTACTCAACCACAGTCAGACACACTGCACATTGACACCAACATAGTGATGTCCTTTTGGTCCTCTTTGAGCATGAAGGACAACAATCAACCAGTGAACCATCTGAAGATGAAACTTAGATTACAGCATAAATTATGGTATGATAAGCTCTATATTGTAGATGGAGTGCATCTAATGAGAGATTGTAACTATATAATCATCTGAACTCTTAAAAATCTAATCAAAAGGACTTTAAATTGAAAAGAGAAGCTATAGAGGAAGAAGAAAATCAGTAGAGACACTTCATAATTCATAGGATACAAAATCCAAGACCAGAGCCAGAAATAAAGCCAGTGGTCTTAGTTCTTTTGGCAAAAATTCACAAACTATACATAACAAACAAGATGACCTACAGAACTTTATGCAAGGAGATAAAATTTTACTTCATAGGTATTAATGAAACTTGTCTGCATGGTGCAGGCTGGTCTCTTTCAAGGAAAAACAGGTGAAGGGCGTTGAGGGAATGCTGCTTCCCCTTTCAGGCTATTAGAGACAATGAAGTGATCCTTAAAATATAAGAAGATAGACTTCAGTGTAAAAAAGAAAGAGGTGAAAAAAAGAATATGAAGAGGCAGAGGGAAATTGTGACTTGCGTTAGAAGGTTGGTGGCAGGAAGAATGTCATACAGAGTTCATGAAAGGAAGACACTGAAAAGAATACTTGGAGCTAAGATGCAAATTTGATGCTCTTCCTGAAGAGAGAAGGGAACTTAGTGGTTTGAGAGAAAGCAATTGCTTGTCCTCCAAGAAACCAGGTACCCATGGTTGCCTGAATATTTCAGGTGGGGAAAGAAGGGGATTCATTTGCTATGAATACCCCTGCAGGTCTGGTAGTCTCAGCCTAAGTGAGTCAAGGAGAAAAAACTGCCAGAAGTGTCTAGTAATAGTGGACAAAAAATAAGTGAGATAGCCTTGTTCCCAGGGCCAAAAAACAAAAAGGGTGACAAATTAAGTTGGTTTAGGGCTGAAGCATCTAGAAATTGTACCAAATGACAAACCAGGTTGTCCGGTGAAAGTTCATCTAGTAAGAGTCTTTGGAAGAAGAGAAGAGTGGGGGCAGCTAGGTGGCGTAGTGGATAGAGCACTGGCCCTGAAGTCAGGAGGACCTGAGTTCAAATCCAGCCTCAGACCAAACACTTGACACTTACTAGCTGTGTGACCCTGGGCAAGTCACTTAACCCCAATTGCCTTAAAAAAAAAAAAAGAGAAGAGTAATGGAAATCAGTGAGTCTCTGATGGGAGGATTATTGAGACAGCCATTTAGTAACCTGATCAAAATATAGAGGTTTCCTGTTCTTCTAAATCATGTATCCAAGATGTGACAGAAAACCTGTTAAGATTTGTCAAAACAGTTGGCTACTACCCACTTCTGGTGATTCATGTGGGCAGAAATGATACTGTCAGAAGGAACCTAAATTACAAAATCTTAGGCAAGAAACAGAAGATTGTAAGAGTACAAGTAGTGTTTTCATTAATCCTGCCCACTGAAGACAAATGATGTAGAAGAGAAAAGGAAATTTGATAAATGGAAGTTAAGATGGTGGTAGATGAGTATGGGATTTAAATTTCTAAAACAAAACAGGAATGTATTAGCTTAAACAGCTTAAAATATAGGATTGAGAGACTCATATAGGGATGGAATTTACCTCACAAAGATTGGTAAGCACATATTTGCCTAATAGTTTACAAATCTAGTAGAAGGGGCTTTGAACTGTAGAGAAAGGAGGAAGAAGAAAAATACCTATGTAAAACCATCAAACTACATACCTATATAACTACTTAAATAGTAGTTAACACTGTGGGAAGAATAATAGCAGTTATGATGCTCAGAATATTTGAGACACAATCCAAGAAAGGAGCCAGTAATACAAATCCATGTAGCCCTGTAGATAGAATGCTGGCCCTGGAGTCAGGAAGACCTGATTTTAAAAAACTGCCTTAAACACTTACCAGCTCTGTGACCCTGGGCAAGTCACTTAACCTTTCTCAGCTTCAATTTTCTCATTCATAAAGGGGGTATAATAATAGCACTTACCTCTCAGGGTTGTTGTGAAGATCAAATGAGATAATATATGATATACAACATAAAGGTCTTTGTAAACATTAAGGTGCTATAATAAATGTTAGCTTTGTAGATAAATAGCTAGCTTAATGTTGCTGTGCTAGTGACTTAATCTTTCAATGCCCCCCCAGCAACTGTCTAAGATTATTAGTTGTAGAGAAATTGCCAGTTTACATTGGTAGAGGGAGTTTCCATGCTGGAAGTTCCCTATAAAAAGTTCCCTATAATTCACAGGTTCACACAAAAAAAATTATAGTTGCCAGAATTTCAGATCTGGAAGGGAGCTCAAAATCCATCTAGTACAACCTGAACATGAAGAGGACTTCCCTTTACAGTATCTCCAACAAGTGGTCTTTTACTTGAAGCACTCTGCAATTGGGGCAGCCATCTACCTCCCAAGGCAACCCATTCTACCCTTGGAGAACTCTAATCGTTAGGAAGTATTTACTTACATTGAATCTAAATCTGCTGCTTTGCAATCTCCACCATTGTTCCTAGTTACTAGACATTGGGGGACCTAGTGCTGATCCCCATGGAGTGATATCAATATTTTTAGAGCTGTGATAACAAAGTTCTAGCAAATGAGTACATGTGGCACTTTCTGAACCCCTATTGCTCTCCCAATTGGAAAAGAGAGTGCTCAGGAAGAAGCCAAAGGACCCAGGATCTATATACAAGCCTAATTAATGGCAAGTAGGAAGTGTATAAGGGTGAATTGGGAATGGTGGTGGTAGTGTTGATAGTGGTAATGAGCCCATGTTATCATCTTCCATATCTACCAAGTTTTTTTTTTCAGTCTAAATATTCTTGATTCCTTCATCTTATCATTTTATGATCTTTTGTTTGTTTTAATTTTTTTAATTTTCTGTTCAAAATTCCTTCCCTCCCTTGACTCTCATCCTTGCCCACTGAGAAGGCAAGGTTATACATATGAAGTCATGCAAAACATGTTTCCACATTAGCCATATTTAAAAAAACAAAACAAAAATAAAGAGAAAAAGATATGCTTCAATCTGCACTCTTGAGTCCATCAGTTCTGTATCTGGAGGTGGATACCATTTTTTATCATGAGTCCTCTGGAATTGTGGATCATTGCATTGATCAGAGTTGTTAAGTCTTTCACAGTTGATTCATCTTCATGATATTGCTGTTACTGTATACATTATTTTCCTGGATCTGCTCCCTTCATTCTGCATCAGTTCATATACATCTATCCAGATTTTTCTGAAACCATCCCCTTTATCATTTCTTACAGCACAATAGTATTCCATCACATTCATATACCATAAATTTTATGATCCTGTGATAATTAAAAAGGTTTAAGACATAGTTTCTGGGTAATTTAATCATTTTATTAATAAGACTAGCGGGTTATTAATAAAAGGATGGTCATTTGGCTGTCTCTCTTAGACCAAAGACAACCATGGCCTAAGACTCACAGTCTACATACCCTTCAAAACAGTACATGGTCCATCAAATAACAATCAAATCTATTAACATGATTGGAAGTGGTCTATGTAAAACGAAGGGCTGAATATCTCTTGGATAAGGAAAGTATCCAGACTGCCTGTAGCTTTAGGCTATCAATTAAAAAAAACACAAACCCATCCAAGCCCGAGCAGAACACAATAGCTTCCACCAGGGTGGGGCCTTAAACGAGAAAGTGAGTCCAATCTCATCATCAGCAATGTCCTTAAGAACTGAACTTAGTCAGGACTTTAGAAGGAGAGAGCTCTGAATCTATGTCCAAATTATTGGTTATTAGTAATTATTTCTCACAATCTTTTTATGATTTTAGGTCTTGATTTCCTCACCATCTTAGTCACCCTCCTCTAGACATGCTCCAGTTTGTCAGTGTTCTTTCTAAAATATGCTCAAAACTGAACACAACATTTCAGATGTGACTTGACCAGGGAAGAGTAGAATCAGACCATCACTTGATTTTTGACACTATGCCTCATGTTGCCTGATACCAGACCACCTTGACACCTAGACAAGAGACCTTACCTTAGAGGTTATAATCCTTTCAGTTTTGGAACTCCTCATTAGGTTTCCACACTATCCTGATTAGTGAATGCTTCACATGGACCACAATATCTAGGCTGGCTTCAGCCTTGTTTCACTTTGCTCCTTACCCGTCTTCTTATCAGCCATTTTGCCATCTTAACATATTTCTTTAGTCTTCCCCCATCTCTGCTCCTGCTTTCCACTTCTGGAATTTTAATCAAATGAATATCAATATTGCTACTGAAAATAGTGTTAGTCTACTGTTTTATTACTGTAATTTTCTGAATCAAAATACTCTCCTATATAAGTATTATCTTCCTTATCTGAATATAAGCTCCTTGAGATCAGGGATACTTTTTGCCTTTTATTTGAATTTAATAAATGTGATTTTTCCCCCATTCATTCATGAATTCATTAGCTTTTTTTGTCTTCTGTGTCTCACTATTGACATATCTAGCTTGGAGTTCACTTGAACTTCTAGGGTTTTTTTGTTTTTGTTTTTGTTTTTGTTTTTTGTCCTATAGGAACTGTTTTCTAGCTATGCTTCTCCCATTTTGCACTTATGCAGTTGGTTTTTGGAACTCAAGTATAGGACTTCACATTTATATGTCTTCAGTTAATATTAGACTTGATGCAAGTCATCTAACATACTAGCTAAATTTCCCAGCTTATGTCATTTGTAAATCTGGAAGTATGCCAACTAGGGATGCTTATCCTGAGCCAGGCTAGTTAGGCTGGTTTTTCCTTAAAAAGTATTAAGACTTTCCTCAAGATTTGAGTTGGTTCAGGGGAGCTGACTTGCATAAGGAAAGGAAGGGGGGAGTTAAGATGAAGCTTCTACCACATATCTACATAATAGCATTTATATAGCACTTTAATATTTGCAAAGTGCTTTATAGACATCTCATTTTATTCTCACAATAACCCTGGGAGGTAGGTAGTGTTATTATCCTAATTTGGTGAGGAAACTGAGGCAAATAGTAGTGACTTTCACAGAGTCACACAGCTGATGTCTGAGGATTTGAATTTGGACCTTCTTGACTCCAGATCAAACAATCTATTTATTCGCTGTGCCACTTAGCTGCCTCTAATGACTTCATCCAAGTCATTGATAAAAATGTTGAATAGTGAAGGCATATTACTGGGGTACTCTCACTACAGTTCTCCCTGTTTTGACCTATTAATGCCTGTTCTTTGGTTCCATAATTTTACTCTATTCCAAATTTGCCAAACTATTCTATCATATTTCTCTTGCCCGTAAGGACAAGGGAGAGGTGATAAGGGCTTGAATTAGGATATTGGCAGTGTAAATAGAGAAAAGGGGACAGATATGAGACAGATTGTGAATGTAGAATTGCCTAGACTTGACAACTGATTGATTTTTCCTTTTTCCTCGAACCTAAACCCAAATGGGAGATTTTGAGTCTAGGTTACTGAGAAGATGGTGGTATCATTAATAGAAATTAGAAATTAGGGAATAGGGACATGCTTAGTTGGGGAAAGACGATGGATCACAGAATTTCAGATTTGGAAGAGACTTCTGAGGCCATCTAGTCCAATCTATATATGAATAGAATTCCTATTATAACTTACCCAACAAGGGTTCATCCAGCCTCTGACCGAAGATCTCCACAGAGGATAAATCTATCACTTCTTGAAGTAGCTTATTCCACTTTTGGACAGCTCTAATTGTTTGAAAGTTTTTCCAACATCAAACCTAAATTGATCTCCTTACAACTTCCACCCATTGCTACTGGTTCAACCTTCTAGGGTCAAACAGAACAAATCAAACCCTTCTTTTACATGATAACCCTTCAAACACTTGTCATCAATCATCTCCCTCCTGAGTTTTCTGTTCTCCAGGATGAATATGAAAATTCCTTCAGTCAATCCTCGTATATCATGAATTTGAGGCCCTTAACCATCCTGATTGCTCACCTCTGTATACCCTCTAGATTATCAACATCCTTTGAACTTAACACGATACTCCTGATGAGGTTTGACAAGGGCAGAGTACTGTGAAACTATCACCTCCTAATTTCTGGAAGCTTTACTTCTCTTAATGCAACCCAAAATCATGTTAGCTTTTTTGGCTACCATAATACAATACTTATCTATATTGAGTTTGCAATCCACTAAAATCCCCAGATCTGTTTCAAAACAACTGTTATCTATTAATGTTTTCCCAATCTTATACTTGTGAAATTGGTTTTTTTGCACTCAAGTGCAAGACTTTACTTTTATCCCTATTGAATTTAATGAACTATAGTTGATTTAATTATTAGCTTATTGTTGGATATTGCTTCCAGTTTTTTGCAATTACAAATCAAGCTGCTATGAAAATAATTTAACAAATAGCTCTTTTTGTTTTTGATAACACTTTCAGGACATATTCATGCCAGCTGTCATCAAATATTTGAAGGATTATTGTATGGAAGGATTAGATTTATTCTGCTTTGCCTCAGTGGGCAAAACTAGGGTGTATGGGTGAAAATTAGACTTGTTTTATTTTTTTTATCTATTTATTTTTGACATTTAAAATTTTTTTTGAGTTCTAAATTCTTTCTTCTGCCCCTCTCCTGCCTATTGAGAAGGCAAACAATATGATATCAATTATTCATGTGAAGTCATGTCAAACATTTCCATATTAGCCATGTTGTAAAAAAAAAAAAAGACAAACAATAAAAAGCAAGAAACATGAAGAAGGTGAAAAAGTATGCTTCTATCTCCACTCAGAGTTCATCAGATATCTGTCTGGGGATGGATAGCATTTTTCTGTTCTTTGGAATTGTCTTGGATCATTGTATTGATCAAAGTAGCTAAGTCCTTCATTGTTGATCATCATTACAGTATTGCTCTTACTGTGTACAATGTTTTCCTGGTTCTGCTCATTTTACTTTGTATCAGTTCATATATGTCTACCCAGGTTTTTTTGAAACCATCCTTCTGATCATTTCTCATAGCACAATAGCATTCTATCACAATTATGTACCACACCTTGTTCAGCCATTCCTCAATTGATAGACATCCCCTCCATTTCCAATTCTTTGCCACTACAAAAAGAGCTGCTATAAATATTTTTGTAGATCTTTTCCCCTTTTCTTTGGTATCTTTTGAAGTGGTGTTGCTGGGTCATAGGGTATGCAGAGTTTTATAGTCCTTTGGGCATAGTTCCAAATTGTTTTCCAGAATGGTTAGACAATTCCACCAACAGTACATTAGTGTATCTATTTTTTCACATCCCCTCCAATATTTGTCACTTTGCTTTTCTGCCATGTTAGCCAATCTGATAGGTGTGAGATGATAAGTCAGATTTATTTTAATTTGCATTTCTCTAATCAATAGTGATTTAGAGTATTTTTTTTCATGTGACTATTGATAGATTTGATTTCTTCATTGGAAAACTACCTGTTCATATCTTTTGACCATTTGTCAATTGGGGAATGGCTCTTGTTTTTCTAAATTTGGCTCATTTCCCTATGTATTTGAGAAATGAGGCCTTTATCAGAGAAACTTGCTGTAAATTTCCCCCCTCAGTTTCTTGTTTGCCTTCTAATATTGGCTGCATTTGTTTTGTTTGTACAAAAACTTTTAAATGTTACATAATCAAGATTATCCATTTTACTTCTTGTTTGGTCATAAACTCTTCTCTTATACATATATCTGACTGGTAAAATTTTCCATGCTCCCCTAATTTGCTTATGATATCACTCTTTACATCTAAATCATATGCCATGTAGGGGTAACAATTAGAGGAAGGCAGATTTAGACTCACCTAAGGGGAAACTTCTTAACTATTGCAACTAGTCAAACATATAATTGACTGCTTCAAAAGGACTGTGAGTTACCTGTCACTTGGAGATATTTATGTGAAGCCTAGGTGAAGTCAAGAATGTTTCATATAGGATTCATATTTTGGTTAGTAGTTGGACCTCTGAGGTCCCTTCCAGATCTAAGATTCTATTATTCTACATATTTGGGGTGGGGATAGGTAGTTATAACCATATGTGAAGTATGTGTTTTTATGTTATATGTGAATGTCAATATCTGTGTATGTATACCCAAATTAACCTTATACTAAATCTCCCAGAAGACTTGCTCCATCATTTCCTTCTTCTTGTTGATCTGTATATAGAGGATGAGCATATAGCTTCCCTCTGCCCGGATGGAAAACAGTCAGCATACCCTGGGCCTGAACTGTCTTAGTAATGCTAGGCATAAGGATCCTATTAGCTTTCTTCTCTCCCCTTCTTTTGCCCTTCCTTTTCCTCTTCTTTCCCAGCACTGTTTTCTATATTGTATTATACAGGTATACATCTCAGTTATCATCATTAACTGCTACTGAAGAAAAGAGCTATCAAAGGTCAAGCTCTAACTACCCAACTCAGACTATCCTGCTAAAGAATCAAATCATTTCTGTTCTTCGGAAGAACAAATACTTAAGTCCGATCCACTTCATCTACCTTAATTTGGCTGCTACTAGGCATTTCAGGTAAGGATCTAGCTCCCAGGCACCCCTGGTTCAGGCCCATATCCTCCAGGAAACCTCTTCCTTTGATCTCTTCCTTTTTGCTCTCTGCCCTAAATCCTGCCTTCCTCATTCTCTTTCTTTATCCTTTTCCTACAAATCTTTCATCCTGTCCTTATCTGACCTCCTTTCCTTGGCCTGGAATCCTAGAATTAGAAATTATTCTAGAGGTAATTTAGTCCAATCTCCCTTCTAGTACAGTAGTCCTCTTTGCTAATGTTTATTCTGCTTGTTTGAACAATTCCATTAACTTATCTCCCGAGGCAGCTTCTTCCATTTTTGAACATCTCTTAATTGTTAATACATTCTTTCTTGCATCGAACTAAAAACTTGCTCCCTTAATTTTCCATTTAGTGGGCCTAGTTCTGTCCTGTGGCTCTTCCATTCATCACCCCATATTTTCAGACAAATTTTTGCTTTTTGTATATCCTTTCTCATGCTTTTTTGGAACCCTCGCAAACATGAATCTTCTTGTCTCTCCTCATTCCTCAGTTAGGAAACTTTTAGTCTTTGCCATGGAAGATACCTAGTTCACATCTCTCTAAGATAGGACCTGCAGGAGCAACATATCACCATCTTCCTCTGGACTTACTTACTTTGTCAATGTCCTTCCTAAAATACAAAACTCAGAGCTGATTGTAATACTCAGATTTGTCCTGAGCAATGTGAAGTCAAGTAGGACTGTAACATTTCTTGTTTGGTTCTAGATATTATATTAATTCAGCATTAGATTTTTTTGTTTGCCACATCATCTTCTTGACTTGTTAAGCTCATAGTTCAGTAAAACCCCAGGACCATTTTGTAGCCATGTCTCTGACATCAGTTACGGATGGAGTTGGTTTTTTTTTTTAAGTTAAGTGCAGGCCTTTTTATATAAAACCCAATTAAGGCAACTGGGTGGTGCAATAGATAGCCAGCTGGGCCTGGAATCAGGGAGAGTTGAGTTCAAATCTGGCCCCAGACATTTACTAGCTATGTGATTTTGGGCAAGTCACTTAACTTCTTAAATTTTCCTTACCTGTAAAATGAGGATAATAATAGCACCTAACTCCTAGAGTTGGTGTGAGGATCGCACTTAGGACAGGCACTTAGCATACTGCCTGACACATAACAGACACTTAATTGTTTATTCTCTTCCCCTGTTTCCTTACCTTCATTAAATTCTATTTGGTTAGATATAGTTAATCATTCTAGGCTCTAGAAATCTATTCTCATCTTGATTCTATCATCCAACTGTATTACTTTTTGCTCCCATCAGTGCAACATTCTCAATTTAATAAACATGTATTCTAAGTATTGAAATAATTAATAAACATATTGCATGAAATAGGACCACAGGTATGTGTCACACCACTAGATACCTTCTTCCATGGTGACATCCATCATCACTCTTTGTATATAGTTGTTCTACAATCTACACAAAGCTACAAATCCACTGTCTTCACATCTTCAGCACTACCTCTTGCTTACAAGAATATCATGAGACACCTTGTCAAGTGCCTTGCTAAAATTCAATTATACTATCATTTCCTTGATTAATCTACTAGTCAGGTAACATGATGAGGTTAGTTTGCATAAGTTGTTCTTAGTGAATCCTTGCCACTTGATTGTGATTACTACTTCTAAGTAAACACAGATCTACTAATTAATAAATCACTTTAAGAATTTACCAACATCAATAGCTTGTAGTTTCCAATAAAGGGGGAACCTTTGGCTTTTTCCAGTTATTTTGGCACATTTCTTTCTTCGTGACTTCTCAGCGGTTACCAGTATGGTTCCAGGATCATATCCTTATATGTTGTTTGTATGGGCCTAGAGACTAAGATTCATTTAAAGTGATCCTTATTATGATCTTATCTCTCTTGGGTTGCATTTTGATTTTAACTGTTTATTCTTTCCTGTTTGAAGATTATAATATCTTTCTCCTATTTCTCTTACATTCCTCCTCTCATCCCCTTTTTTACCTGCCTACCTTCTACCTCTTTACCCTCCCACCTCTTCCTTCTCTGTCCTCTTTTCCTAGGCAGTACAACCTAATTATTGGGGTTGAGGGTATGTTTGTGTGTCCATTGGTCATAACGCTCTCTTCCTAGACCATATAGCCTGACAGTGGTGCCACAGAGCCTGGCAAACCCAGAGCACTACATCTTTTCTCCTTTCGGAGTCCTGCATGTGCATCCTGTGGAAGGCAGTGAGTTAGTAACAATGGGTGTCTGGCACCGGCATGCCATGCTGTGGCAACAACTCCAAAACATCCCTTTCTTCAAGCATTATCTTGTGAGGAAGGCCTTGACTTGGTAAGAGTTTGGAGTTTGGAGTGGATGAGTGAAGCAGCAGTACAGAGATGGAGGGAGGTGGGAGAAAGAATGGAAAAGGTGGGTGAGGGGGCAGGTTATGAGGAGATGAGATTGTGAGCATTACTGCAGGCTAAGGGAGACTTCAATGGTGATAGGGGAGTTGTGGGTTTAGAGTAAGAGTCAAAGAAGGGAGAGGGTGGGGAGGAAGTTTAAAGAGAATTCTGATTGACCTTTGGTCCTCAGCTGGAGGAAGAATGTTAAGTTGCAGGTGCTGAAGAAACGCCAGGATTTCCTGAGGAACTACCTGCTCTTTTCTATACCCCACTTTGGCGTTTGTCTGCTGCACATTAACAGGTGGGATTTTTGACTCTTGTTCCCTGAAACCTTTTTTATCTCTCCTTCTCTTCAGCTCTGTACCCTCACTATCCAAGTGACAACATGCCACATTCTCTACGGCTTTTCTCCTGGTTGTAAGCAGTACTCAGATGTCCTGGGCAATGTGTGAGGAACAGGGAAAGACAAATCTAGCTATGTCCTGAGGGACAGGAGGCATATTTCACTCTTAGATCCCTTATACCAGTCCTTTCTCACTTTAGCTCCTTCTTTCCTTGTGTTTCTATCTTTTTTTTAGGGTTTTCTCTAATTTTATGGCCAACCTTGGTTCCACCTTTCTAGGCCTCACTACTGGGTCCTTAAAGATTGGCTGGTAGATCTTGAGGAGACCATGAGTGATAGATTTCCTGGCAGGCTCTTATAACTCAGATCTCTCATCTTTTAGTCTGTTATTTTCTCCCCACTTGGGAACCCAAGTCTTACCCCTTCTTCATAGCTGGTTTGGTTCTTCTCTCTTGGCTCATAGCTTACTTAGTACATGTCATCCCTTCCCATGCACCACACAGCCACTTAACGTGAAATAAACAGATAGTGACTTCCTGATCACAAGATCTTCAGGAAGGGTATATACAGAGGGGGAAATTTTTCCTCTTTCCTTCCTCCCTGATTTCCCAACCCATGTTCTTCTGATTTTCTATCCTAGATTTCCTGTTGCCTTTATTCTCCTTCCTCCTTGAGTTTGTGCCACAAATCATCTCACATCCTAATCTTACCATCCCTTGCTCTTATCTCTTTCCCCAGCTGGGCTGCTATAATCTCTGGCTCCTTCTCTCAGTCCTCTTACATTTTCTTTTAAGGAGAAAAGAGTAGCCAAAAAGGGTCTGGCCCAATCTAGTGGGCTTATAGCATTTTTGTCTCTAATAAGTAATTGGTCTTAAGAGTGGAAGCCTGGTCTCAGCCTTCAGGTTTTCAGGAGAAGGAGTTAGGATACATCTCAACCCCCAAGATTCTTTCTCTGGGGCCAGAGAGTGAGAGAGGGGGGTTCCTTCTTTTTTTTTATGAGGCAATTGGGGTTAAGTGACTCGCTTGGAGTCACACAGCTAGTGAATGTTATGTGTCTGAGGCCAGATTTGAACTCAGGTCCTCCTGAATCCAGGGCTGGTGCTCTATCCACAAGGGGTCTCCTTTTAAACTAACCAATCAGTAAATCTCTGGTGGATACTTATATGGCCACCCCTGTGCTAAGCTCAGCTAAGAGGGAGAGGAGAATATGTGGTCATTGCCTTCAGGGAGTTGACTATACCTGAATGACTAGCCCAGGCCAAGGATGGTAGTGTCTCATGTTAGCCTAGATAAGGTTTTTTTTTTTTAGCTCTAGGTACTGGCACCTCTTTTCCTCAGCCCCTGTTCTCCATCCCTCACTTCCTGATCTTTACTGATCTCCCTTCCCTAAGCACTATAGACTTTTTGCTGAAGAGATAGACTTCAATGTTTTACTATGCCTAGAAAGGCCAGTAAAGGTCCAGGTATCATCAGAAAGAAAGAAAGAAAGAAAGAAAGAGGGCTTGAAAGCTAAACAGGAATTATTCTATCCCCATATGAATCTTGGTTCATCCAAATCTTGAAAACTGTATAGGTATGGTCATTGCAGCTCAAGGAAGATATAACAAGATGAAAAGAGAAACTGGAAAAACACCTTACCTTGTCTGAGGCAACAGTTCTGAAGTCTTAGAATTGGGAAGGGGATGAAGAGGTGGAACACAAATGTACTTACCAAAATCTTGGCTTTAGGACCAAACTACCTTTGAAATTTGAAAGTGATTTGAAAGTGAAGTTTGAAAGGATATTCCTCCCCCCAAAAAACAAAGTAAAACAAAACAAACAATTGACAGGAGAGATGCACGGTATAAACCAGATTACTTGGGAGATGGTTCAGTTACCCATATCAAGCAAGAGAAGAAAGATTTTGTAAGTTGTGGCCCTGATTTCTCAGAGGTGGCCAAAAACCTAAGAGTCTTAAGGAGACAGAAATCCTACTGGTTCAATTTCATAGAGATATTCAGAGAAGGGATGTAGGAAGTCTAAATATGGTCCCTGTCCCTTTGTGTGTCTGGCCACAAGAAACTTTGATTCTAACGTTCTGGAGGCCCTTCTTCCCAGGTTCCTGCAAGAGCTACACTCTGTTTCCTGGTTGCCCCAGGAGGAGAATCGATGCTACACACTTTCTGAGCTGCAGCGGGCCCTGGCCAAGATGAATAGAGGAGCCTTGCGGGTATTGAGACGTTGTCTTCGTCTCTCTGCAGCTGTCCTTCAGCTGGTAGGCTTTCTAACCCCAGACAGATACCTCGGTCCCCCAGGGCTGATGATACTACTAATAATAACAATAGCATTTACATAATGATTTAAGGTTTGCAAAGTGCTTTACAAAGATCTCATTTTAGCTTCATAATAACCCAAGGAGGTAGGTGCCATTATTATTCCCATTTTACAGATGAGGAAACCGGGCCTTGCTCAAGCCTAGCCTATTGCCCCTTCCCCCCAAACCTGGGGTGGCTCTGAGCATCAGCATAGCTAGGGAAATAGGCATACAAGTGGCTTAATGGGTGAGCAAACAGACAGGCAGCCTGCTGAGCAGACACATGGGCAAATTTCTGGGGAGAAACTTTGATGTGGGGCTTATCATGGGCAGAGCTTTGACTTGGCGTTGTTGCAGTCCGAGAGGCTGAGACCCCTCAAAGACTGGAGTACAGGACAGGGTTGTCTAGAATGAATTCACAGACTCAAGCATTCTTTGAGTCAAGTTGGCAAAGATTTATTGTTATGCTATATAGAGGGCAAGGATTCTTAAGGAACCTGCGACCTTAGAGGGGTACAGTTAAAGTTTATATAAGATAAAATATAATAAAACATGTGTCAAATGTGCTAACTAGATGATTCAGGGCAGGATTAGGGAGTGCTTAAGGGGTGGTCAGTTCTTAAAGGAGCATGCACTTTTTGTATCTAATGTGCAGGTGTTTTACTCAGAGTTCACTAGGAAAAGCCCACAAAGGGGACCACACGGATGTGTGGTTTTAGGCCTGCTACATCACTAAGTTAACTAGTCGTCAGGGATAACTGAGAGTTGTCCAGTATGCCACTAGTCAATGTCTTGTTTGACAAGATAGATGTCGGGAGTATACATATGTCTTAGGTCTAGAATACAGATAATGAGGAGTCCAGGATATAGATAATGAGGTAGGGAGGTAGTATAGATAGTCCAGTGGGTAAGAATATCTTTATGACCCAATGCAAAGCCAGTTCAAACTAATAATTCCTTCAGGTGCTGTTTGTAACTGCACCAGGGAGAGAGATAAGGGTCTTGCTGGGACCCACTCATGAGCAATTGCTAGGCACAGTGTCCTTGGGCTGGGGAGAAACTGCCTGGGATAGTGTTTCTGAGGCTAGGGAGAAACATGGTCATGGAATTGGGGTTCCAGTACAAGCACCCAAGCACCCCATCAGTGTTAGGAGGAAAAAAGAGAGCTACCAAAAACATCTGATTGCCCTCCTCCCTTTTCCACTACCTCTTCATCCCTTCAGTTACCAGTTTACACAAATGTTATTCCCCTGCCTTCTTTCTCCCCTTCCCTTCCCCTGAATCATTCCAAATTCTCATCTACTCTTCAGTTATGCAGATGTTCTTTTAAAAAATAATTTATACACTCAGTTGGGTATGGAAAACTATCTTACCCTACAGGAAAATAGGGGGGAAGGGGATAAGAGAGCAGGGGGATGATAGAGGGGAGGGCAGATTGGGGGAGGAGGTAATTAGAAACAAACACTTCTGAGGAGGGACAGGGTCAAAAGAGAATAGAATAAACGGGGTGGGATAAGATGAAGGGAAATATAGTTAGTTTTTTACAACATGACTACTATGGAAGTGTTTTGCATGATTACACATGTATAACCTGTATTGAGTTGCTTACCTCCTCAATCAGGGTGGGTGGGGAGGGAGGAAGGGAGAAAATGTGGAACCCAAAGGTTTAAAAACAAATGTTAAAAATTGTTTTCACGTGCAACTGGGGAAAGATATACAGGCATCGGGATACAGAAATCTATCCTGCCCTATAGGAAAATAGAAGGAGAAGAGTATAAGAGAAGTGGGAGGGGAGATAGAAGGGAAGGCAGATTAGGGGAAGGGGTATTCAGAATACACGCCATCTTGGAATAGGGGGAGAGATGAAATGAGGAGAAAATTTGGAATTCAAAATCTTGTGGAAGTGAATGTTGAAAACTAAAAATAAATAATAAAATCTGAAAAAAATGAACAAATTAAAATAGCAATTTATTATTCACTTAACTTTAAGCAGAAGCAAAAGCAGTCAACCATACATATGCATTGATTTAAACTTAAAAATGCATTTCTATATAAAAATCCATAGTAGCCTATTAATTATTCCCCCTCTATCCCATTCTGTTCTTTTTATCTATTCATGTCTGTATTTGTATATATTTAGCGTATCCCAAATGTCTCATAGCTTAAAACTGCATTGCCAGTATGGCTCTTTTTTTAACATTTAATTTTTATTTTATTTTTTCTCAATTACATATAAACAAAAAATTTTAACATTTATTTTTTACGGTCAAATAGACAGTTTTGTTTATTAATTTATTTGTTACATTTTAAGTTCTGAACTGTCTCCCTCCTTTCCCACCCCACACTAGAGAAGGCCATTATTTGACACAGATATATCTATTTCTATGTTGATCTATATACCAATATCTGTATCCACATATGTAAAACCGTACTATGCATATTTCTATATATCAGTTCTTTCTCTGGAAATAGATGGCATTTTCCATCATATGTCCTTTGTAATTGTCTATGATCACTGCATTGTTGAGAACAGCTAAGTCAGTCACAGCTGATCATCATACAATACTGCTGTTACTGTGTAAATGTTCTCCTGCTTCTGCTCATTTCAATTTGCATCATTTCATGTAAGTCTTTCCAGGTTTTTCTGAAACCATCCTGCTTGTCATTTCTTATAGCACAATAGTAATCTATCATAGTCATATACCACAACTTGTTTAGCCATTTCCCAAATGATGGGCATCCTCTCAAACTCTGATTCTTTGCCACCACAAAAAGAGTTGCTATAAATATTTTTGTACATATAAATCCTTTTCCTTTTTTAAAAAATTTCTTTGAGATACAGATTTAGTTGTGGTATTGCTGGGTCAAAGGGTATGCACAGTGTTATAGTCCTTTGGGCATAGTTCCAAGTCACACACAGAATGGTTGGATCAGTTCACAACTCCAACAACAGTGCATTAGTGTAACCTATTTTTCCAAATCCCTACTTTTTTTAATCATAGTAGCCAATCTGATAGATATAAGATGGTACCTCAGAGTTGTTTTAATTTGCGTTTCTCTGATCAGTAGTGATTTAGAGCATTTTTTCATATGGCTAGAGATAGCTTTGATTTTTTTTTTCCTTTGAAAACTACCATTCATATCCTTTGACCATTTGCCAATTGGGGAATGATTGTTGTTCTTATTGTTTGGGCTCACTATGTATTTGAGAAATGAGGCTGTTATCAAACAAACTTACTGTGAAATTTTTTTTCCCAGTTTCCTGTTTCCTTTCTAATCTTGGCTGTGTTTGTTCTGGTTTACTCAAAACCTTTGTATTTTGATGTAATCAAAACCATAAATTTTACATCTTATAATGCTCTTAATCTCTTGTTTGGTCATAAATGATTCCCTTATCCATAAATCCCACAGGTAGAATATTCTATGCCCCCCTAATTTACTTATGATATCACTCTTTATGTCTAAATCATGTACCCATTTTGACCTTATCTCTATGTGGTGTGTGGTTTGTCCTTTGTCCTCAAAGAAGACCATGAGATCAGGAAGATGATGCTCTGATTTGCAAGTAAATTGGATTTAAGTGAGGGAGGGTTATGCAAAGTTACCAGCCACACTCTCTCTTCCAGAGCCATCTGGGTCCAGTGGCCAGATATAGATCAGGACAACTGGAGATGGCCCAATGCAGTGGGAGACCTTGGCCTTTTTAAGCTAAGGTTATTCTGAGTTCTCACTTTGACTGAGGCCATGCCCATCCAGTGATTAGGGCTATTTAAGAAGTGAGCTAAGGGATGGCCCCTTTAATCACACACACAAAAATAATCAAACTGGGAAGGGAAGACCCTCAGGGTTTCTGGCCAAAAGAGAAACAATTACTATTTACATTCACTTTGAGCCACCAGGGCCCAAACATTAACCATTAAGTGGTGCTTGGGTAGAGATCTATTGTTGACCAGTCAATGAAAGCCAAAATGAATTGGGTTTAAGGCATGATCTTTAAGGAAAAATTCTAGCCAGTAAACCCCAAGATATCTAGGTAGGTTTCAGTCTTCAAGATTTACCTTCCTTTAGCCAGAGCACCCTCAGGTAAGAACATGATACCTCATGTGGAGAAACAAAAGGAGAGGAGAGGAGGAACTGAGTTGCCCAACTGGAACTGGCCAGTTGGGTCCCCAGTGGGGCAGCTCAGACTACTCACAGGTTGTGGTTTGTCCTTTCTCAAAGAGGACCATGACATCAGGAAGATTCCGAGTAAATTGGATTCAAGTTAAGGAGGGCTGTGCAAAGTCACCAGCCTCACTTTCTCCTCCTTCCCTTTATCTCTGTATATGAAGGGAGATGTTGATCTATACCTAACTTCTGCCAAACTGCTTTCCAGTTTTCCCAGCAATTTTTGTCAAGTAGTAATTTCTTGTCCCCAAATCTTGGATCTTTAGGTTTGTCGAACACTAGATTACTATGGCCATTTATGGTGTATTGTGTACCTAATCTATTCCACTGATTCACCACTGTTTCTTAGCTAGTAAAAGATTGTTTCAATAATTACTGCTTTATAATACAGTTTGAGATCTGGTACTGCTAAGCCACCTTCTGTCACATTTTTTTTCATTGATTCCCTTGACATTCTTGACTTTTAGTCCTTCCAGATGAATTTTGTTTTATTTATAAACTTTCCAAATTTCTTTATATTCATCATACATATAATTTTTTATTATGTTATACTATTCTATTTTGTTGTTAGACTATGATTAAGAGCCTTCACTCACTTTTGAACATTTTAGTTGTTTCCAGTTCATGGAGGTGATGTGATAACTAGTGCTTGATCCTCATATTCTGTTTAAACAGGCCAGATCATGGTACATATAGTATCACTTTAAGTGCTCTGTCCCACTGTTATTTTCTTGAGATCTTATCTATCCAGGATTATGACTTATCCAATTGTTTTGCTTGGTCCCCAACTTACT